TCACCAACCCCGCATCTGACAGAGGGCTGATATCCAAAATATACAAAGAACTCAAGAAACTAGTCAACAAGACACCAAATAATCCAATTTAAAAAGGGGATACAGATATAGAGAATTCTCAATAGAGAAATCTCAAATGGCTAAAAGGCACTTAATAAAGTGCTCAACATCCTTAGCAATCAGAGAAATGCAAATCAAAACAACTCTGAGATACTATCTTACACCTGCCAGAATGGTTAAAATAAAAACCAACAACAGTTTGTGCTGGAGAGGAAGTGGAGAAAGGGGAACACTCCTCCACTGCTGGCCGGAGTGCAAACTTGTACAGCTACTTTGGAAATCAGTATGGTGGTTTCTCAGGAAAATGGGAATCAGTCTACCTCAAGATCCAGCAATTCCACCCGGGCATACACCCAAAGGATACACATTCATACAACAAGGACATCTGTCTAACTATGTTCATAGCAGCATTATTTTTAGTAGCCACAATGTGGACAAAACTTGGATGCCCAGAAACTGAAGAATGGATAATGAAAATGTGGTACATTTACACAATGGAATACCATTCTGTGGGAGAAAAAAAAAATGGAATCTTGAAATTCACAGGCAAATGGATGGAACTAGAAGAAACCATCCTGAGTGAGGTAACCCTAAGAGAGACATACATGGACCCTCAAGTAGGGTAAAGGAACAAGATCTCCTAAGTAAACTGGGAGCATGTGGTGGGGAGAAGGAGGTAGCAGAAAAAAGAGGAGAGAAGAGGAGGAGGGAAGAGAACATGAGGGATCAAGAAGGTCAAGTTGGGAGAAGAACAGAGGAGAACAGGAAAAGAGATACCTTAATAGAGGGAACCATTATGGGCTTAATGAGAAACCTAGCACTAGGGAAATGTCCAGGGATCCACAAGAATGACCCCAACTAAGAATCTAAGCAATAGTAGAGAGGCTACCTTAAATGCCCTTCCCCTGTGATGAGATTGGTGACTACCTTAAATGCCATCCTAGAGCCTTCATCCAGTAACTGATGGAAGCAGAAGCAGACACCCACAGCTAAGGACTAAGCTGAACTTCTGGAATCCAGTTATAGAGGGGGAAAAGTGATGAGCAAAGGGGTCAAGACCATGTTGGGGAAATTCACAGAAACACTGAGAAAGTAGGAGCTCAGGGAGCCCAGTCTGACAGCAGGGGAACCAGCATAAGACCAAACCAGGCCACCTGAACATGGGTGTTAGCTGGGAGGCTTGGGAAGTCTATGGAGCCTCTGGCAATGGAACTAGTATTTATTCCTAGCACACAAATGGGCTTTGGGAGCCCATTCTCTATGGAGAGATACTCTCTCAGCCTAGATACACGGTGAGGGCCTAGGTCCTGCCCCAAATGATGTGACAGACTTTGATGATCCCAATAGGAGGCCTCACCCTCCCTGAGGAGTGGATGGGAGGGTGGGATGGAGTATGGGAGGGAGAGAGAACTGGGATTGGTGTGTCAAATGATATTGTTTTTCATGTAAATAAAACTCAATTTTAAAAAATGGAACACACTCTCACCCACCTCCTCTCCAATCCACCTATCTCACTCACAAGTGCTCGTTTCTGCCATCATGTCAAACCGGGGAGAATCAAAAGGCCCTTCAGTAATGGAATCACCAGATTAAGCACACTGCCACATCCAGAGTGTGTGTCAGCAACCAGAGCAACTTGGCTGTTGTCAGAAACTGACACAGTAGAACGGAGTGGTGGCACATGCCTGTCTGTAATCCCAGGTCTTGGGAGGCAAAGGCAGGTGGATTTCTGTGAGTTTAAGGCCAGCCTTGTCTACAAAATGAGTCCCAGGACAGGACAGCCAAAGCTGTTATACCGAGAAACCCTGTTTTAAAAAAAAAAAAAAAACCTGGCACAGTTTAAGATAGAAAATACAGTGGGGTGGGGGCTCAGTTCAAACACCAGGTACCATATCTGCAGCGGTGTCTGCATGCTGTGCTTGCAGAGTGGAACAAGCATGCTCCCCCAGCACAGCTTCCTGTGTCTGACATCATACTACAGTCAGGGAGGGATGACCAGTGAGGGAAGCTGGGGTAAGCTTGTGCGGCACCCTTCTCCATACTATTCCATACCATGAGCTTAACTTCCTGAGACTGTCATTTGCTTTTACTTTTTATTATAGTGTTTAATATTTTGAGACAAGTTCACATGCAGCTGAGAATGTCCTTAAACTTGATAGGAAACTGAGGGTGACCTTGAGCTACTGATCCTCCTGCCTTCCACCACCACCCCGCCACCCCACCACCCCACCCCCACACCCTTGGGTTCTGCGATTAAAGTTGTGTGCTCCTAGATTCACAAAGACAACATTTTAAGTTTTTGTTATTGTGTTTTGTTTTCTCCTCTCTGGTGTGGACCTATGAGCACAGCCTGAGGCAAGGAGGCCAGACACCACAAAAAGCCAGGGAACATCTCAGGACAGGACAGTGGAGACACATCAGTTCTTCTCAAAATGGAGCTGGGAGCTTGTATGGAGTTTGCAGAAACAGGAAAGAGGAAGGCACCAGGAAGCTCCCAACAGGAAGGAGCGTGGACTGTCTCCATCTTATTAATCAGATCTATGCCTTACTTTACCCATTCCCTTGAAGACTCCCAAATCTCAGCTTCCAGCACCAGATAGCTGGAGACCAACCCCAAGTGGGAATGAAGACAGAGAGGTTTTTAAGAGGACACAGAGAAGCCCCGAGAAGACTATGGGGGCCCTCTAAGTCTCCAGCCTTGTCTGAAAGCCCCCATACCATCCCCATCTCCCTTTCTTAACTACCAAAATCTCTGAGGTTATGACTCTCCTGGCTCCAAGGAGCTCTGTCTGAACCTTCTATTTTATCATTTTGGAGATCCTTGAGAAAGTGCCCAGAATTCAGGAAATTTAACAACCACAGAAGAGAAAGTAAGACACCATGCTCTACTTTGTGTGTTGTTGAAGAATATTCTGTGTGTCAAAACCAACCTATCACAGCAGAGTGCTCCAGGACACAGACAGAGAGCAAGCACACCAGACAGGAAGTACACTCATTTGGTGGTAACACAAGCTATGACTACACCTTACCCCATTGGTGGGAGCTGGACCTCAGAACTTGATGAAATTGGCTAATTCATAATTGCTGAGAAAAAGAATACTGTGATAAGAAGTCTCAGGAGTGTACCCAAGGCTTGGCAGATAGCACACACATGGGGTATCAGGATGGTAGAGGTTTATGGAATATTGGCTAATAGTGGCTTATTCACCTTTAATAGAGGGGGTAAAAATCTTGCCAGGTATGATGGCGGGCAAAGGGAAATGGATCTCTAATTCCAGGCCAACTAGGTCTAGTAGCAAATTCCAGGCAAGCTAGGGATACACAAAGATCTTGTCACAGAAAAAAACAAGATTATTGTAATGTGAGAAATGGAAAGCCAGCCAAGAACACAAAGGACTTCAGGGCCCAGAAACTGTTTATGGAACAAGATAAATGAGGTTCTAAGAAAGTTAAGTGTGGTAGCATGCTTGTAATCCTGGCGCTGCAGAGGTAGACGCAGGAGGATCAGGAGTTCAAGGCCACCCTTGGCCACATAGGGAGACTGAAACAAGCTGGAGCTACCAGAGATTCTGCCTCAAAAAAAAAAAAAAAAAAAAAAAAAAAAAAAGTAACATTTGGCCCTGCACCTCACCTGGGTAACACAATAAAGCCAACCTTGCTAGCAGAGGTGTGTTTAAGCCAGCCCTGAGAGTTGTAAGCATGGGAGAGCTGGTCCCACTACTCCTCTATCATGCAGTGGGGGGGGGGGGGGTGAGAGATGCCCCCCATGACCCCTCATCCCTTACCACCTACAGACAAGAGAGCTGATCCTGCATCTTACCAGCTGCAGCACTTAGGAAATCAGGTCCTGCCCCTAGCCTAGGCAGCACCGCAGAGCTGTCCAGTGGTCAGAGGTGAGGGTGACCCAGCCCCAATGTTATGAGAAAAGGAGAGATGTCCCAATTACTCATCAAACACGTGGTAGCATGGGCACCCCCCACTTACCACCCATCAACCCCTGAGACAGCTGGCCCCAGCAGCATGAGAGAGGGAAGACTGGGAACTGGAGCAATGGGTTAGAGGTTAAAAGCACTGACTGCTCTTCCAGAGTCCCAACTGCATGGTGGCTCACAACCATTTGTAATGAGATCTGGCGCCCTCTTCTGGCCTGCAGGCATACTTGCCAGCAGAATACTGTATATATAATAAATAAATCTTAAAAAATATAAAAGGGTGAGAAGGCTGTCCCTACCTCTCATCAGCTGCAGCACTCAGAAGAGTGGCCCCTGCCCCTCACCTGGGCAGCACAGTAGAGCTGGCCCTAATGGTGTAGGTGTGAAAGAGCCAACCCTGAGAACACAAAAGCAGAACTGGTCCCACCCCTCGCTCATTGTTACAAGAGTTGAATTGGCTGGGGCAATGCTGGAGGGCTCACCCTGGTGGTGATGACAGGTGAAAACTGGCTTGTAGACCAACCCTACAGCTGCCCAGGCCCGGATCCAGGGTTATCACTTGGTGTGCCCTGACATCTACCCACCCCATCTATGATCTGCTGGAGCGATGTCCTAGAAGACTCTCAGTGAGGGCCCATCATGGACAGTGTAGCAGAGGCTCAAACCAGACCAATGACTTTGCAGTGGACACTTGCAAATAAAGATATCTGGACAGGGGTGTTTACTGCACGCCTCACTGTGTCCATGCAGCTTCCATGACAAGATTTTTAATTTTTCTCTTTTTTTTTTTTTTTCACCTTTCCTCTGAAATTTTGTTTTATTTGGGGGGTTGCAGGGACAGAGAATGAACACAAAGGGACAGGGAAATGAATGGGATCTAGATACATGATGAAAAAGACGCATAAAATAAATAAAAAGGAAAATGCAAAACAAAGTTAACAATAGTCCCCGCCATTACCAAAAATATGTCAAATTCAATGCTGGGAACTGACTTTGATCACAACACTGTAAAAGGAAAAGCAAAGTAACAATCTCTTTATTTTGGACATTTCAAATGAAAGCTAGAGTATTAAAATAAAGTAGTGAACCTAACACGCAGCAAGTTCAGTCATGTGTCTCTAGGAGACAGCCTGGACTTCAGTCCTGACCAGCATCGAGGAGGCCCTGGGTTCACTCCCAACTACCTCAAAAAAAGAAAAAGAGGGCTGGAGAGATGGCTCAGTGGTTAGGTTAAGAACACTGACTGCCCTTCCAGAGATCCTGAGCTCAGTTCCCCGCAACCACATGGGGGCTCATAACCATCTATAATGGGATCTAATGCCCTCTCCTGGCAAGTAGGCATGAGCACTCAAGACCTTTAAAGAATTTTTTAAAAATAAAATTAATAAAAAATTTTAAAAAGAAAATTAAAAACTTCCTATAGCACCTAGAAATACACTTATTCCCAGGTTGCATAACTAGCTATTCACAAATCAAAAATGAGCAGAGGCGATGGTCACAGGGTGCTGATCGGCCAGCTGGGCTGACAGGCGCTAAGCACCTCTGAGGCCTCCAGGCTGAGTCTCCCTGCCCTCCTGCCCAATCCTAAGGGCACTGGCTGTTTAGGTAGAAGCCCTACTGCTATCCATATATATACCCCAAAAGGTTGGGGTGTTGGGAAACTCCAGTTAGGGGCCTCATTTGACACACTAGTATCACTCCTCCCCATTCCAAACCCCACCCCTGAGAAAACCAGCTAAAAGTCAGACCCTCCGTGGGGCTGCTCAAAACTCTGCCTACAGGCTATATAAGACCTGGTAGCCATGTTTGTCATGTTACTCCTCCCCTGCCTCCCCAACGGTCACCCAGAAGTTGTTTTGCTCTATTCATTAGACCTGAGTTTACCAATATGGTTTGATTTGGCTTATTGCATCAGTGGTGGAGGAACCCAACAACCAGAAATCTAATACTTAACACTGCCATCTATCAAGCCTCCTAGCAGAGGAAGGGACAAGCTGAGTGAGGATACCCAGGCCCTCAGGTAACTGCATGACAGAGTTGAGTTTCTCCCGTGTTCTGGAGTCTCCTGCTACCATCTCACTGAATAGGAGCACAGGGACACAGTGGGAGCTGAAGGTGGCCGTCACTCTGGGGGCTCAGCGTGTGGTAAACCAAGTGGCTGGTACCAGGGCTGCTGGAGTCTCAGGTGGGGTAGAGGGAGACCCTTCAGTAATGTCTCTCAAATCCTTCCAGTTCCTGGAGTGCCCCTGGATATAGGTCTGGCCTTTCCATAGGAACTCAGCTATCGGTTCCTGATTGCCTGATGGTTCTTGGGTACAGCCACGTATCTCAGCTTCTTCATGATGGAGGGCCAGCCCAGCAGCTGCTGGTCCCACATGTACTCTGGGGACAGCACCTTTGTTGGCTTGTGGTGTAGCAGGTACTTGTTCAGATGGCTCTCATCATGCCACACAGCCTCGATGCCATTGGCCTTGTCCTCCATCATAGCCTGATGACAGGCCTTGGTGAGATGGTACACCTCCACCACTGACCCCCCAAAGAAGGCCCCCATGTAGTAAAAGTCACCCTCATCCCAGGGGATGTAGGCCTGGGACTTTGGCCTGCGCTCATAGGTAAAGGCCTCTCGGCTGGCTCTGTAGAAGCCAGGGTGCAGGGTACCAAAGAGTGCTGAGAGAATCTCCACACCCACGTGGTCACTGAACTTCATGTCCACATCTGCGCACACCAGGTAATCCACCTCATGCAGAAAGCGCTGCTCTGAGAAGCGGCTGATCATTTCCATCCTGTGCATGGACACATCCTGCCAGCGGCTGTAGTTGCGCACGGTTAGCACCACCAGCTTCCGTCCGGCTCCCAGGGGCACCTGCGGCACATCAGCTGGACGGTCAGTGAAAACATAGTAGATGACCTTGTGTCCCACCATGAAGTGCTGCTCTGCAGTCTCCAGGAACAGCTTCAGGAACACCACGTACCTGTGAGGGAGGACAGAGTGATATGGAGAGGTTTAACACAGCTAGGTAAAGACTAAGCAGGGCAGAAACTAACCTGCAGAAACCACGGCTACTCAGAGGCTTGAAGCAGCAGCAGCCTGAAGATGGGAGGTTTCTGTCCCGCCTGGTCCCACAGCCACTTTGTCCAAAATAAACACACAGAGACATTTTAATTATTAAACTGTTGGCCAATGGCTCAGGCTTCTTATTGACTAGCTCTGTTCTAATTATTAATCCATTTTCATTAATCTGTTTATTTCCACATGGTCTTATCTTACCAGAGAAGGGTCCAGACTGGTTACTCCTTCCTCTGCTACATGGCGTCTATTGGCTGCCTCTCTCTGCCTTCCTCTCCCCAGCCATCTCTGGTCCACTAGCCCCGCCTGTCCTGCCTGCCTGGCTACTGGTCAAACAGTGTTTTATTCATCAACCAGTAAGAGAAATATATATAGAGAAGGACATGCCCCATGAGCATCCCCTCTTTACAGCTGTCCTAACCAGTCTGCAGGCTTTACCTCACCTCACCCTCCTTTGCTGCAGAAGGGTGCAACATCAGCACATCTTAGCAAGGAATGTTGAGGTAGAGCTCTGGAAGCTTTAGCCAGGCATCAGGGATGATCCAAGACCTGGGCATCCAGGAAGATGCTCTTCAGATATATCTCTATCTTGGCAGTCCCCTCAGCAAGCCACCTCTCCATGAGTCTGTCACCTGCTCCAAAAAAAATGACAGCTCCATCCCAAGACACCCCACACCCTTGCATTGACCTGAGCAGAGCCTGTGCTCCCAGGACCCACATTCTAAGCCCTGGTGGAACTAGATGGATTTTTAAGTGCCTGGTACCTGCATCCCTCCCTTGTGTCACTCTCGAGGACCCTCTCTCAGGGAAGGAAGGGCTCTCTGTATCCCAGACCATCCTCATCAGAGGTTTGAAGGTGCCTGGACAAGGCAGGCAGTTACTCATTATGTCCCACATTCACTCCAACAGAGGAAGAAACAGTCTCACAGCGTAGGAAAGAAAGGGGTGACAGACACCCTAGAAAAAAGGGCAAGCCTAAGCCAAACCCTCAGGTCCGAGAGCAAAGGGCTTCTAACCCAGGTTCTATGTCATCTCCCAACCTAAGAAGTTTTCACCTGATTCAGATGGCTTCTTCCCCCTTGATAACCCCCAGGACCATGTGTTACCACCATGGGAACAGGGATCCATCCCCATCACCTGGCCAGTGTACCAAGCCCTCCCCTCTTCAAGGACAGAAACAGGCAAGTGTCTGTGTTCCCTGTGTAAAGGTGACCATAGGGCTCCCAGCTCATTCCCTCAGGGGCCTTCTTCCCAACAAGCACCTACCCACACCTGGAGGGCTCTTGCTCATGTACCGACAGCACCCACACAAGGTTGTGTTTGTGCCTTGTTACTGAGAAGTCCTTTTCCCCTAGGAGCTACAGGCATTCTCAAGGTGCCCAAGATCCCTCAGCTGAGCCCCAAACCTCTCCCAAGACTGATTGGTATGAAAGACTCAGAGCTATCATTGGATCTCACCCAGCACTGCAGGGAAGGATAAAGCCCCTCCCTTCTTATATGCAGGCAGCACAAATGGCTTTCTCAGCCCCCCACAGCCTTACACACTGTACTACTGCCCTGTCCTGCTCCCCACAGGCTCCCACAAGTGTTTCAGGGCTTCACAGGTCTTCTACTCACCACCCCAGGGCTGAGGTTAAATGTTTCACCCAACCCTTGCTGTCCAATTAGTCCAGCATCTGAGGACACATTCGTGTCATAGCTCTGCTTGCAATCTGTCCCTTGCTGCCAGCCCTGGGGATGAGGACAGCCACCTAAAGTATGTGCTGAGGGATGCAAATGGCACCTGACTAAGAGCACAGAGGGAGGGGCAGCTGGCCTGGGGTTCTAGAAGGAGGCAGAGCTGGGTTCACTCACCTGCGAGCCCATGAGACCTCAGGAAGGTGTCAGAGTGAACCAGCAGAACCCACACTGCATACTAAATAACTAAATACAAGAATGGAGCCTGGTCTGCCTGGTGTCCACCTTGACCTCTGTGTGTGTGTGTGTGTGTGTGTGTGTGTGTGTGTGTGTGTGTGTGTGTGTGTGTGTACACCCATTGTATGTATTCAAGTTTACTTGCCTGTGTGCCTGTGTGGAAACCAGAAGTTGACTTTGGGTGTCTTCTTGTGGCATTCACCTTTTTTGTTCTTCAGACAGGGTCCCTTCTCTGACTCTACAGCTCACTGTTTGGCTAAGCCATGCAGAAAGCTGCCTGATCCATTGTCTCTCCCCTCCACCCACAGTTCTGGGATTAAGGGGTGTGCCACCATGCCCACCTTTACATGAGTGTCCGGGATCAAATCAGGTCCTCCTGCCCCTGAAGAAAGTGCTTTACACACTAGCCATGGCCAGCACCCACTGCTTACTTTTTGATGGCAAACACGGTCAGTCCAACTGTGATGTTCTGAAGCCTGAACTGCTCATTCAGAATGTCGATGTTGAAGGTCCCTTCCCAGATGATGGGAGCCAGCCAAGGAGTCAAGACAAGAACATCTTTCCTACTGCATGGGGAGAGGGCCACAGGCAACATGTGACCAAACATGCCTGCAGGAACCTGCTCAGATTCCATACCTTCAGCTTCCCCCAGGGCTGCCCACCCTCCCTGAGGGAGCCTGAGGCACTCAGCATCAGCTCTCACTGGTTATGCCCACCCCACTCTACCAAGCTCTAGAAGCACCTGAGTTTAACTCCCACTGCACACACCACATCTCTGAAGCCTTGATGACAGAGACAGGAAACAAAGAGCAGAAGCCCAGTTATGAAACAAGATGCTCTGGGCTCCACATCTGAATCAGACAACCCTAAGACTCTGAAAGAGTTGGTGGAGTGAGGGCGATGACAATCACAATCAAGCTTTTGGTTTTTCCTGAGTTTTGTGTTTTCCAGTGCTGGAGACTGACCCAGGGCCTCAGCTGTGCTACTGAACTTTTCCCCACTGCAAGCAAATTGTCCTTGAATACCTGTATGACTCCTGCACTACTCATGCACTGACTAAATACTCACCTGGGTGTTAGCACCTTTGGCTGGGCATAGGCCATCCTGCAAACAGAAAACACAGTAGTCCAAGATGACAGAAGGGTCAATGGGAAGCATGTCACTGGCAGCCATGGACCTGGCAAACAGACCTGAATGAGTGGTGGCAACCAAGCCACCATGTCTGTCCATGATCCCAGGAGCTAAGGATGAGTTGAAGCAGGAAGGTCACAGTCTTACTTGACATTTGGTAGGCAGAGGAAAGCATGACCTCCCCACTATCCCACATAAGTCTGGGAGAGCTAAAGATTACTTTAATCACAAGCCACATAAGACTGAATTAAGTCCTCTCTTGGCTGGTGGCACACAGAGTCCTGGCTCTCTGTTGCTGTCAGAGATCAGCCTGAACATCTGACTAGTCCAAGCATCTGTGTAAAGTGCTTCCCACAAAAGGCCTGGGACAGTGTGTGGCAGTGGGCTGTCCCCACGAAGGACATCAAGCCCCAAGGGTCAGGAGCCATCTCTGCTTGTAAGCTGCATACCCTATGACAGCTTGTAAAGCAGAAAGCAGGGATGGGAAGATGCTCAGCAGTGAGAGCACTGACTTCTCTTGAAGAACAACTGGATTAAGTTCCCAGCAAACACATAGAGACCACAATAGTGTATAACTCTAGTTCCAGAGGACCTGAGGCCTTTTTCTGGCTTCTTGGGACACAGGCATGAATATGAGAAGCACAGCATAGACAAAGACCAAGGCCAGCCCCGCTAAAGAGCATGCCTGGCTTGTGCAGGAATGCAGAACTGCAGGCTGCTGGAAAGGGTCAGCAGAAAGGACCCAATTTCAGGAATCCTTCTACCTTCTGCACTGAAGGATCATTAGCTACTGTGAGCAAAGTAGGAATGAAACAGACTGACAAGCATGGGGCTCATGCAAGACCACAGGAGACCCAGGAAACAGAGCAAAGCCAAGGGATGTCTCCCAAAAGGCAGGCTGATATGATCTGGGGACTGGGAGGATGGAGAGGCCTCCAACTTGAATCTGGTTATAGAAGGCAAAAGACCTTGCACTCAGCAGGCTGCTGAGGAGGTGGGTGGGGAACAGTAAGTGTCCTTAGGGATAGCAGGTAGGTACAAATGGGAGGATGAAGCTGAAGACAGGAAAGACAAGTGCTTCCCAAAAACACTTCCTTTAAAGAGCAGGGGGCAGCTGGGGCTGCTCTGAGAAGCCTAGAAAAGGACTGGACCCATTCATGTAGAGGCACAGGCAGAGACTACAAGGCAACATACAGCAGGAAGTTCATTCATCCAGTAACACACACACACACACACACACACACACACACACACAGACACACACACAGACACACTCACCTAGTCATAGCTCCAGAGTCTCTCAATTCCTCCTGGCTTCTGTGGCTCACGAACCCATAGCTGTGGAAAGGACATGGAGACTGGCTGTCTGTGCCTCCTCCAGAATGCACCACTGTATCCAGCAGAGTGAGCACAGAAGCTCCCAGAGGGGATGCAGGGCCACATGACAGGAATAACCATGCCTACCACACTAGAAGAGGTGGGACAGGAAGGTCCCTGGGGACAAAGCCTGCACCTGGACAGCTGTGACAGTTGCAGACAGCCCCTTCTCAATGCCAGATGCCAGGCATACACCACAAGGCCACACCAGGGAGTATTCTACAGAAGCCCCAGTAGACTTGGCAGTGCCTTTGCCGTATGACGGGTCACAGAACATCTGCACCTAGAGAGAACAGCCTCCAAGCCCTTCCTCTCCTTCCCTATACCCACCACATTGCTAGGGCCAATGCCAAAACCCCTTTTGTGGCATCAAGAGAGGCTTCACTATGGAGACATGCAAAAGCTGGGCATCTGTGTGTGAGTGGCCATCAGTACCCTCATCACTGCCACAGTAGTGGGGATGCTCATGGCTCAGGGTCCCCATCAGGGTCTCATGAGCTGTTCCTCACCAGACTGGATTCTTACCCAAAGAAGACCAAGGCAAGCACTATGAGGGGAAGGATTCCAAGGTGAAGCGAGCAGCATTTTGGTCTCCCTGAAAAACAGGAGCGCAGGATCCAGTTACTCACCCCTTCCCAGACATGACTCCCCTCCACGCCTCTCCTGAGACTCAGAGGTCATCCTCAGGACTGTGGCTCTGCCCTATCTCAGGCAGCCCCAATCCTTGAGGGAGCTCCAGCCCCACTGAGCAGACAGAGGAAAGAAAGTTATTACTTCCAGCTCATGACTCCCTTGGGCCCTCAAGGTCCCTAGGGCCCCCATGTGATCATGCCACTGAGTACCCCTTCCTGTGGTTGCTGAAATGAAACACAATGAATGCCTTGGGGTCACTGCTGGCCCGTGTATGTAAGCATCCAGGAACCAGCTGGCTCCATCAAGGAGGCTAGGAACAGCTCTCCCCACCCCCACCCCAGGCCCCTGTATGCTTACATACACGGGGACAGCAATGAGTCTGTTCTAGTGACTTTTCTCATGCTGGGGTTGAAGGCCAGGGCTGAGACAAGTGCTCCATCACTGAGCTATGTCCCTAATACCTCAGATGATTTTCGTGTCTCTGGAAGGTACGTGTTTTCATAATGAAGCCCAAATAGACCTAAAAGACACAGATCTAAATAGACTCACATGTGTGCTCTGGAGAGAGCGCTCAGTGGGTAAAGCGTTTGTCATAGCCACACAAGCATAAGGACCTCAGTTCAGACCCCCAGGGCCTAGGTAAAAGTCAGGCATCTGAAATCCCAGCACACCTGTGATGAGATGGGACATGGAGATGGGAGAATCCCTAGAAGCTCACAGGCCGGCCAGCCAGGCATACAGTGAGGAGCAACAAAAGGAGCACTGTCTCAAACAGGGTGAAAGGCAAGGACTGACACCAGGTGGCCCTGTGACCCTCACATGCACAGCCACACTCACAGGGTGTTTGCACAGGTTCACATCTAAAACGGCTTAGCCCTCCCTGTCCCAGTCCGCTACTTCCCCTTTAAATCACTGGAGCTGGTACTTTGTTTCTTATTTCATTTGCTTATTTATTTGCATGTGTGTGCCTGTGCATGCCACAGGGCACTAGTGGAGGTCAGAGGACAACCTGCAAACACTGATTCTCTTTCCACAATGTGAGTTCCAGGGATTGAGCTCAGGTCATCCAGTTTGGCTGCAAGCGCCTTTATCCACTCATCCAGCTCATTTTTCACTTCTTAAGTTTTCTCTCCACATTTCCAAATCCTCCACAATGGAGCAACTGATTTCTGAAAGCCTCAGAAACAAAGACAAAGTGACATTTGAACTTCATTTGTTCTCATTATGTTCCCCCCTTTTATGTAGTTTCTAGTTTAGCTATAAAGAAATCTAACTGAAAGTAATATTTGCCCAATTTTGAAATAGTTCCTTTTTAATTTTTGGGCTGAAGAGATGGCTCACCAGTTAAGAGTACTGACTGATCTTGAGGAGGACCAGGGTTCAACACCTACACATCAGTTCACAACTGTCATTAACACCAGTCCCAGGGTATCCAGTGTTTTCTTCTGGCCTCCATGAAGCACTGAACACACATGGTACACAGATACACATGCAGACAAAACACCTATACACATAAAATAAAACTAAAAGTTTAAAGAAAACTTTTTGTTTCTTGGGTTTTTGAGACAGGGTTTCTCTGTGTAGCTCTGGCTGTCCTAGAAATCCCTATGTAGATCAGGCTGGCCTCAAACTCAGAGATCTGTCTGTCTGTGCTGAGTGCTGGGATTAAAGGCCACCACCACCCCTTTAAAAAAAAATTTTTTTTTATTTTGAGATGCAATTTGTATCTAATAAAAAAATGTGCCCATTTTAGGTATAGTTTGATAAATTGAATAAGGAATACCTCCGTGCTGTCTACACAGGGACCACATGATACATGTGCCCTCTTGTCTAGCTGTTTATATAACATGATGCTGTCAAGTCTCACCATGGGGTCATGTGTGGATTCTTCACTTTTTTTTTTTTTTAATTGCTTCTTTTTAAATGCTGCAAAAGTTGTGGCCATTTGAGAAAATACATTCTTCTTGTCTCATCATTCTAGCATTCATCAAAAATCACATGGTGGGAGCTGGAGTGATTACTAAGGAATTAAGCACACTTGCTGCACAATCATGAGGTCCCATGAAAGAATGTCTGCAGTCAGGACTCCATGTGTGTGTGTGGTAGCTGTAGAGGAGGAAAGGGGTTTGTTGTCGTCCAGCCTGGCTGAGAAAAGTGAACCTCAGGCTCAGAGAGACCCTGACTCAAAGGCAGAGGTAAAGAGTGAGAGACCCTGTCTCAAAGGCAGAGGTAAAGAGTGATAACGGAGGGTTCCTGGTGCCTTCCCGGCCTCTGTATGCACACATCACTTTTTAAAAGCCACTGGATGGTGAAGGGGCTCGCGAAGTCCCACTCCTGTCTAAGGAGCTATGGTAACTCTCAGGTGCTGGGGAGGGAAGAGTCCACTTTCTTCAGGAACGCAGCCCCTGAGAAACCACTCATGCTCCAGCAGATGACCCCACATCCAAGCACAGGCAAGTGGCATTAAGTGGATTCAGTGGGTTTTTTAAAAATCATATTAAATTGTGGAGAAAATGTGTGGGGATCAATAGAGGAGGAGATGGATACAGGGTAGATTTAATCAAAACCTGTCTATGCATGTATGAAATTCTCAAACAATAAAAGTAAACCTAAAAGAGTAAAAATATTTTCAGTCAAGCTAGAAACAGCTCAGCAGTTCAGAGGATGCACTACATATGCACAGGACCCAACTTCAGTTCTAAGCACCCACATTAGGTGGCTCACAATCTCCTGTGAGTTGAGCTCTAAGAGGGCCTGCTGATACCTGTGGCCTCCACACACAGACACATTCACATAATTTTAGAATAATAAAATTAAATGTTAAAAACCCACCTTAAATAAGTCTCCTGCTTGAACCCTCAATATTTTCCCTTTGATGGCTATATAATATCCTTCCCTATGTCTTCTGATTAGTTTTGTGTGCAGTCTTTTTTTTTTTTTTTTTTTTTCCAGCTATAAAAATCCTAACACCAGGAGTATCAGTCCAGTCTTTGACCCCCCATCATCTTTGACCTCCATCGCCAGGTCTCGGCTAGAGGTGAGTCTGGGACCAATATGGGTGGAATCCCCCTCACACACACCCTTCTCTGGGAACTACCTGGGTTGGCACCGGATCTCACCGCCCCTGAGTGCTGTCCCCAAAAAGAGCTCTCTTGGAGCTCTGATACACACCTACCCACCCCCACCAAGAACCTGCCCTCCCTCTCTCTGTGCCCTGCCCTGCCCACATCCCACCACTCTGGTTGAGCACTGGGACACAGGGTGGAGCCAACAATCCTGCCACTTTTGGGGAACTTCCTGGAGCTACTCTGAGCACACTAGACCAGCCTATCCAGGCCAAACAACCCGCAATCCCCACCTGCCTGGTCACTAATACCCACAGCCAGTCCTCTACTGGAGTTCCGGACACCTCCCAGAGAACCGCCTATCCCTGAGAGGCCACCCTGAGTTCCTGCTGGCTGGAACCTTGACCCCCCTCTGCTAAAGAGGACTCAGCTGGAGAGTGCCAGGCCCAGGCTAGATCTGCCTATAGGCACTCGGAACATCCTGAGTCCAAGCCTTCTCGATCTTTGACCCCTATCGCCGGTCTTCTACTGGAGCCTGATCTTTGACACCCACTGCTAGGCCCATACCTGAGGAGAGACCTCTAGAGAGCTTGTACCAACAAGAGCTACAGACATCGAACCTCTGACCCACCTAAGTCCACCTGGAAAGTACCATAAAAAGAGAGAGACCCCACCAACACCTACTGGAAGAAGCCATGGGAAGACGCCAATACAAGAAAACACCTAACAACAGAAAGACAAGCATGACACCACCAGAATCTAGGGACACTACACCAACTAGACCTGAATACCCCAAACCAGAGGAAGCAGAAGAGAATGACTTAAAAATTATCATGACAAAAATGATAAAGGCCCTCAAAGACAATATAAGAAAATCACTTAAAGAAATGGAAGAAAAAACAAACAAAAAATTGGAAGAAATGAACAAATTTCTTAAAGAAAATACAGAAAGCCAAGAAAAAACAATTAAACTGGTGAAGGAAATGGTTCAAGACTTGAAAACTGAAATAGAGACAATAAAGAAAACACAAACTGAAGGAATGCTGGAAATAGAAAAACTGGGCAACCAATTGGGAACTACAGACACAAGCATAACCAACAAAATTCAAGAGATGGAAGAGAGAATCTCAGGCGCAGAAGGTAAACTAGAGGACATAAATTCATAGGCCAAAGAAAATCAGATTTCCAACAAATCCTTAACACAAAACATCCAGGAAATGTGGGACACCATTAAAAGGCCAAACCTAAGAATAATAGGCATAGAGGAAAGCGAAGAAGCCCAGCTCAAAGGTGAAGAAAACATAATCAACAAAATCATTGAAGAAAACTTTCCCAATCTGAAGAAGGACATGCCCATGAAAGTACAAGAAGCACACCGAACACCAAATAGACTGAACAACCAAAGAAAAAAGACCCTTCGACACATAATATTCAAAACACGTAACATACACAATAAAGAATATTAAGAGCAGCAAAGGAAAAAGGCCAAGTAACATATAAAGGCAGACCTATCAAAATTATGCCTGACTTCTCCATTCAAACTCTAAAGGCCAGAAGGTCCTGGATAGATGTTCTACAAGTACTAAGAGTCCACGGATGCCAGCCCAGGCTACTAAACCCAGCAAAACTCTCAATCACTATAGGTAGAGAAAACAAGATATCTAATGACAAAGCCAGATTTTCACAATACATATCTACAAATGCAGCCCTACTGAAAGATCTGGGAGGAAAACTCCAACCTAAGGAAGTTAACTACGCTCACAAAGACATAGGCAACACATAATCCAACTTTACCAGAATCCAAGGGTAAAGCAGGACAAATATATTCAATACCACTGCCAACAACAAATCTAAAACAAACAAGCATTAACAATCAATAGTCCTTACTCTCCCTCAA